AGCCGAGTCCGAGTGCCAAAGCACCTCCAAACCCACCTTCTCCGACATCAAAGCAGCCAAAACAATAGGGACACTGACCGTGGCGTTTACCGCATCATTCACGCCCATCGCTGTCTTCGTGGTCGGGAACGTTTTGGGGAATAAATGGTGCAACTTTTCCTTTTTTGCCTTCTGGATTTTGGCCTCCAACAGCTGCTGGAATGTGATCATTTACAGTGTGAGGGATCAGAAGTTCAGACTGAGAGCACACAAACTCCTCATGCCTTTCCAGAGAAAAGACTTGACCAAATCCTAAAACAAAATCAGGGACCAAAGATCAAGAGAACTGCATCTTATAAATGCTTGTTAAACAAACTCTAACACACTCGCTAAGAGACGTATCTGCATGTTTGATGGATTGCTGTTGTGGTATAACAAAGTTTATTTTGAACATAGCATGGAAAGTTTTTAGGTGTTCACAAATGTTGGATATGAACTGCTCCTCTTTGTGAGCGTTTGTCTTGTTCTGTGCAACATTACAGAAGCTTGCTTCAGTCTGTTGAATCATGGTTGTTTAGCAGAGTGTGATCTATTAAAACATGCTACAAGACAAATCTGCCGTCAGTGTATGAGGCTGAATGTGGATGTCAGAGAAGATATGTCTGAGATATTTCTGCAGGTTTTTAGTTTTTTCAGGGTGATAATGAATCATTGCAACATGCTCATTAAATATGGCAGCTTGGTCAGTGTTCCTCTATGTCAAAAAAAATCTGACATCAGCTCGACCCATGCAGAGCTCTGTGGTGAAGTTCACATTTCTAAATAAAGGTCGCAGACAAACCTTTAATATTTGTGAGTTTTGGATGTGCCACTATAATAAAACTTTATTATTGTTGCCAAACTGTTGCAGGTTGGTTTGATTTTTCCATTGAAGGCAAACCCGCACTGATGTGCCAAGAAATATGGTGCCGAGTGCACCATGCCTGCTTCAAAGACACACAGCCTGCACTTCAATCAACATTCATTCTTCCAAACATTTTTTTTTTGCCAAAAACAAGATGAAACATTAATGACAGACCCACTTCATCCTCTTGCATTTTGCAGTGGGCATTCATGCATACCTACAATCCTCTGTGCAGCAGGAGACATGTCACATTGACTGTGGAGCTCCAGAGATTGCGTTCTTTTTTTAAACAATGACATTTTCTGCTAAAGATGTGCCGGATGTATAAGATTAAGGGTCATCCAACAAGTATCAATCAATCATTATTTGATCAAGGCCAATTCATAATAAGTGTTATCGTGAGACGCTTTACAAAAAGAGCATATGGGATAATATGCAGAAAGGATTTTTCCTTTGTGTTCCCTTTGTCCACACTTCCTTGCCGTTGAGGTGGAAGTTAGAGCAGGTCTTTAGGAACAACTAAGACGTAGGGAATCGAAAAGAAAAAACACATTTGTTGGCACAAGTGTGGCTGTGACACTAAGACGAAAAGATACCTGCTGTAAAAAAAACCTCAGCATTCATTGCACAACTTCTGTTTAAATTTAAAATGAGTTTGTGTAGCAGCGGGCGAGGACTGATGAAACATAAAGGAACTTTTCTGTTGTTTCATTCAAGTTGCTGCTGAAGTGATTGACACAAGAGAAATTAAACATGAAAAACAACGACCTTTTTGCATATTTCACAACCGCTGCATTTTTTAAAAACCTTTTTCTGGCCACAGTCACTGTGCGTCTCTCTCCTTCACATGCAGCACTTTATCTGTCGATCCCATACATCAGAGTCACCTCAACGAGCAGAGAAATAACTTAATTCATTTCACAGGCATTAAGTGAAGATATGATTCCTTATTAAACGAAGATTGTGCGACTTTATGATCCAGAAGATGTCGCCCCTCGAGCACCAGCATGAAACCAAATAAAAACTGCTGTTTGGCCACACCTCCTCCATGCTGAAGCCTCCGCTCTCCTCCAGAGACACACCTCCAACCCCCCCTCCACTTGTGTTCACACAAAGGAGTTAAGCGCAAGCGGCGGACAAAATGTCCTCAGCTCGAGCTGCGATCACCTGTGTCCTGCATTGTTGTGTTAGCATGCTAATGTTAGCGCTCTTTAGTTAGCTCGTAGCTTCACATTTCATGTAAACTGACACAGAATGAGCGTGATCTAAAAACTCTTACTAACATCCAAATAATCAGTGAGTATGTTCTTCTTCTTCTCTCTAGTTCTTGACTAAAACAGCTTTTATACACAAGGGGAGGAGCCGGCCGTCCCGTCCATGTAAACACGGCTCTGACAACAACACAGCCAGCGGGGATTTCTGCTGTCTTTATGTGCAACATGTTGCACATTCTTCCTTTTATGGGAAAGCATCAAACCTGGAAGTCGTAGTTTAGATTCCTCTCGTACTAATGAGGACGACTTAAGTTTGACTTGTGACATCTTCAGAGGATGATATAACAGAGAAGTGACGTACATCAAAGATTTGCATGACTTGCTGATCACTGGGAGTACACTTGAGAGGAAAGGGTCTCTCAGGCTTACATCACAGCTTTCTTCTGAGGATCCTCTTCACAGCATGCTCAGCACACGATGGTGCTTGAGCTGCCCACATTGTACCCGAGCTGCAGAGAGAAGAAAGGAATCGTGAAATATTTGGGACTTCCTGCAAAGTGCATTACCACAAAGTGCGTCAGAGAGAGCGAAGAAATCAAGGTGAGGGAGTCAGGAAGAAGAAAAATAAATCAGAAAGGTACGTGTCGACGTCACTGTCCTTGAAGTGTGTTACAATAAAGCTCATTGATGAAATGAAAGTGAAAGAGGAGTGAGGCAGATGGAGGAGAAAACAAGCAGTGAATCAGTACAGAATGAGGCTGTCAATCAAAGTCGCAGCAGGCGGTCCGTTCTCACAAACAAAACTCAGCGTCTGTGTGAAATATCAAACATGACATTTGGCTCAACAGCTGAATGGAAAAACAAAAACCTGTCGCATGAAACTTGCCAACAACGTCTTGTGTTCGATTGTTTCAGGGGCTGTTTTCTTGCTTTTACGCATTGCCTGTAAAGCACTTTGGTCAGATGAAGCTGTTTTTAAATGTGCTATACAAATAAACTTGATTTGATTTGATAACGATATACTGGATCTATTGTTTCATTTTAAGGTTTTGCTATCGTACACAAACAGATGCTTCCTAGATCATGAGATCCTCTAAGTGTCCTGAGATTGCGTCATAAATGCTGGGTCCAAACCAAGTGGCAACCTCTTGAAGGTCTTGAAAAATGAAGCCAATACGGAAGAGCAAAATCCTGCAGTTTGTCGAGTTTCTGCTTCCTGCAGGAACGCTGGAAGTCACATACACATGACCATCAAAAAAGCCGTTTTTAAAAATACTCTGGCTTATATTTCCATCTGTGCACCTGCTCCTTCTTCTGATTTGTCAGCCTGCAGCACATTTTTCACCTCCCAACGGCGTCCACCTGCAGGTTCACGTCTTTTATCACCACAGGTGGGATTCACACATATTAGTCACCTTGCCCTTTCCTGCTTTTCACATAGTTGACTGAAAAGAATCTCCACATCAAAAACTGGAAATGTCACCATCACAGTTTCTTTCTCCTTCTTCCTTTTATCTGCTGTGAGGTATTTTGTCTTACCTGTCTGCACTTTATCATCTGTGCTGATCAAAAAGGGCGTCCATGTTGTTTAGCTGTTCTGTGTGTCGTTGTCGTTGTTGGTTACTTTGAGCTGTGTCCTTTAGTCTGAAGCACTGAGTGTACCCAAAAACACTAATCTGTTTATTAAAGATTGGAAATGAAAGGAGACATTAACACATGAACACATAAAGCCAGAGAGACGATCTCATAATGCTGCAGTCACATCAACTCAACCGGACGATGGAGGGCATTTCTTAGTCATACTTCTTCTCATGCTAATTTCTTTTCCTGAGAAGTTTAGTTTTAATATGTTATTTGATGATATAAAAAGGAATACAACGAGAGATGCTTTTGAAAAATGGAGAGAGGTTAGAACACAGAAAGGTTTACAGACCCATGCAGAGCTGGATAAACACTGAAGCTTCAGAGTCCACCACATGGTGACCTGTGTGAGCATCCACTCTAGAGAGGAGGGGGGGGAGACAGCTCTCTATGATGTTTAGAATTTAAACTGCAGTACCCATTTTAAACACTAGGGGTCATAGTTACATACTGCTCCTTTGATTTTTATGTTCCTAGTTTTTGTAATTATGTGTCAAAAAAGGAGCAATGTTTAACTACGTCTTGATCCCAAATTAAGAGACAGTTCAGACATTCACAAAGATTAAAAAGTGTCTCAATCGTTTAATAAAAGATTGCACATCTTCTTTTCATTTAGAATTTTCTTGCTTTGATACTTAAAGGGGTAGGTTACTTCACCAGTTGAAACGTGAATCTGTATTGACATTGGGTCATATACAGTATGTAGTAGAAATGTGAAATACATTTTGAAGTTGGAGCCTTCTTGACCGAGAAAAGGCGGAAAGTGTAATTTTGGCTCATGTGGATGAAAGACAACAACTCCCAGAATGCACAGCAGCCGCCTCCTGTTCCTCCATCAGCCTCAACTGCTCGTCGCTATATTACGGCTTGTAGAGATTCGAGCACAAGACTTCAGAATCCCCTTCATCCATATCACTTTCTCCACAGAGCCTGTTAGCGTAGCTTCCAAGCAAGATGGCAGACTTTGTTTTTAGATTCTGGGAGTGAGGTCCCACCCACTGATCTGTGATTGGTCTGTAGCTTCAGTGGGTTGAAAACATGAGGAACTAGCGTTGTAGTTTCACCCCCTCTCACCAAAGCAGACTCCGATGACGCAAAATGACCATTTTTGCATCACTGGAAACGTCTTTTCAGACAAGAAATACAAAGATTTCCCGTCTCAGGGGAAAATGAGGGCGGGATGCACGACCATTCAAAAATACTACCAGGTTTCTAATGATACAAAGATGAATGCAAATGGGTGAAGTATCCCTTTTGAAGTTTTACTAATTTTTCTCTTTGAAATTTGATCAGAAGTGAATCATCTTTTTTTAAATCTGCCCAGCAAATAAACGGTTAAATTGAATTCTTCTGCTAGATTCCACCTTCTCATGACCTGAAAAAGTTAGTATCTTGTTTAGAAAGGTTCATGGAAGTTGTTGAGTTTGTTATTATTGAATGTAAGATGAAATCTGAATGACTCAGCTGCAGTGTTTGTTCCCTCTGGAGCGAGAACGTTTAATCAGAAAACTAATCAGTAAAGAAAAGAGCCACTTAAACCAGAGATGGCTGTTTATAATCAGGACAGGTTCAGTTGATCTTCAGTCAGTTTCAACAAAAACAACCTCTTGAAAAAGAGAAAAGCAGATTTATAAGAGCATATTTCACCAGGTGAGAAAACAAACTGTGTGTGGGTGTTTGCATTTACCTTTGTGCATCTACTAGATGCTTTTATGCTCGGAAAATGAAAAATGTAACTGTGAAAAAACAAGCTTAAGGCTCATGTGAAAGACGTGCGTGCGTCTGTGTGTGTGTGTGTGTGTGTGTGTGTGTGTGTGTGTGTGTGTGTGTGTGTGTATGGGTATGACACTTGACATCTTGTAACATTAAGGTGACAAAGAGGCAATTGTTTTTTTATGTAAAACTTTCAACTTTTAGGTGTCAAAATGTCAAAAGCTGTTGTCACATCTGCATCCTTGAAAATATCTCGATCATTTCAGGAGGACTGGAGGGGGGAGGGGGGAGGAGGGGTCTCCTGTGTTAAGAGATGACGTAAACAGAGGCCGCTATTTGATGCTATAATGAGAATATTTGCCTTAAATCAGTGCC